AGGCTAACTTCGACCCAACTAGTCTCTGGGCAGAATACAAACACAAGTATATTTACCAACACGCTCGTTTTAATGTCAGTCTCCGGGCTTTGCTGTTTCCAAAAGAGATAACCCTTTATAAGGACAGAACGAGCGGGTTGGTGGGGATAATTAAAATTAAACACTCCCTTCTCGTTTTCTTCCTCAAGTTTAATAGATAATTCTTCGGTGCCATCGGATCTCCCCGGAGAGAGAGAGGGAGCACGGCCGTTTCAAGGTAAAGATAGGGCGCTCGAAGCTTGGGCAAACAGGCGGTATCGTTTCACGCATGCACAGATGGCTGGTTTCAAATTTCCCCACATCCCCAATGAAGCCGGCACATCTTCGTGTGTGCGTCTGCGGGATTTCTGTTCCGCGCCGCCGGTTTTAACGCGCACGCGGCGTAGTTTTGGCTGGCAGAACAGTTGTTGACCGTCGACATTGTAAAGCCGTGGTGTCCTCATCCTTTCAGGCAACGATTCCTTTGCTTTCCCTTGTGCAATACTCTGACAGACTCCTCCTGGGTGGCTGTCACTGTTCGCCGCGTCAACGACACAATCGCACCATTTCACCCCTGGTGACACAGGGTGCGCTGCTCGCTTTACTGTCACGGGCCGTCCCATCTAACACAACGAGCGCGAAAGGTCGTGGTCATCTGCTGGCTCCGAAAGGGCGGGACGTTCATGCAGGCCAATGAGGGCCCCGAATCAATAAGACGTCTGCCCACTCCTACACGTTAAAAAGTTACGACACCTGCTGGTCTGTTAAGAAGTGTTGCTTTCTCTTTTTGGAACTCCTCCGATGTAGCATGCCGCCTATAATAAAATTTAATATTCAATAAATATATCAGGGTGGAAATACTGCATTTCATTTTTATGTGGGAACGTTGAAAAAAAGAAAAAACTATTTCCAAGCTTGTGAAGACGCGCAATTCGCAAGTCCATTTCGAGCCGTAAAAACACGTTTTTGTACGATATTGATGCTTAAATGTATAACATACAAACAAAAAATACACTTTCTAGGCTTGATTTTTGTGTAGACAACTATCATATCTACATTTGAACAAAAAATAAAAAAAAAAATGGGTTTTTTGAGAAAATCAATTTTAAAAATGGTACTTTTTGGTTTTTGCATAATATTAACGTAAACGTACCGCAAATGATATTTTATACAGCCAAGGCATTTTATAATAAATATAAAGAGCGTGTTTTCGGCTCTCCGTGGAGATAGAAAATATCGGTGTAACCCAAGTAGATCGCCAGTAATTAATTGTCAAATTTCGTCAACAATTGACCTAGGAGGCGTTTTTGACATTTTTACAGAAAAAAAGCAAAAGGCCTAAAATTATTTTATGGTATTGGAGCCTTTTAAATGTGTCCACAGAGTGCTTCAAAAAATATAATATAATGTGGATTAAAAATCCATGGCGGGAGATCAAGCGAAACATCCGACCCACGACGGGTGTGAACAGCACTGCTTTTCGCCGCGGCCTCTTTAAAAATTCATAAGTTGAGAACAAGAAATCCGACGAACTTGAGGTTTGTGTCGACTGCGGTTTTAGAAACGGCGCCATAACATATATTTTGCTCATCGAAATTAAGAATTGGACCCTTTTTGCCTGCACGATTTGAGATGAAACCACCCATATAGATATATATATATATATATATATATATATATATATATATATATATATGTATCGTGACGAAGGCCGGAATCCGGCCGAAACGTCGAAGATTAAATCGTTTGTTGTTGCTGTTTTCACTAAGGGTTTTTTCTTCTCAGTTATATATATATGTCGACATTTGAGGGCTCAATTTTCAAGTCCCGCTTGAGGAAGAAGGGTCCCCCTTCGAAACGTCGCGGTTTCTGTATGAATTATACATGTTCAATTAAATCGTCGAAGTTTGTTTGACCCTTCGGTCGCATCTACTTTTATATGTATATATATATATGTATATACCGGGTGTTAATTTTTAATTCGAACAGATTTATTTAAAAAAACAGTGAAAGTTACACTTATGCTGCTTGTGGAGGTGAATTATACGGCCAGGGGGACACATTATAGGGGACTAATCGTAACGATCAGTTGGCTAATTAACTAAAATTCGATAATTAACTTTTTAATTGATGAAAATAGACATGTGATTCCAATTATAAACTTGCTCAGCGTCATCGAAAAGCACTAAATCAGTCATTTCAGAAAGTCTTTCCGCGCGTGAGAAGTGTAGTAGGGCACCAAAGTTACCACTCGTGGAGCAGGTACAAAGCTAGCGGTTGCTTTAAGGCGCCCGCGCGATTTTTCCGTCTCTTATCTAGCCTGAGTCTTGCACCTGCTCCACGAGTCGTAACTTCAGTGCACTACTACGCTTCTCACGCGCTCAAAGTCTTTCTGAAAATGACTGATTTAGTGGTTTTTGGAGACGCTGTGCAAGTTACTAATTGGAGCCACATGTCTATTTTCATTAATTGTAAAGTTAACTAAGGAATTTTAATTAATTAGCCAACTGATCGTTACGATTAGCCCCCTTTAATATGTCCCCCTGGGCGTATAACTAACCTGTTCGAACCGTATCAGTGCATCTTTTACGGATTTTTTTTTAAATAAAGCTGTTCGAATTAAAAATGAACACCCGGTAAATGTGTATGTGTGTGACTGAGAAGGAAAAAGTCCTTGGTGAAAACAGCAACAACGGACGATTTATTCTTCGACGTTTCGGCCGGAGTCCGGCCTCCGTCCTGTCGAAGGCCGGACTCCGGCCGAAACGTCGAAGAATAAATCGTCCGTTGTTGCTGTTTTCACCAAGGTTTTTCTTTTCCTTCTAAGTTATATACCCACGCCTTCGGCCTCCCGCCACCATGCCCCGTTATATATATATATATATATATATATATATATATATATATATATATATATATATATATATATATATATATATATATGTATATCTGTAGTTCTGCTAGACGGTTCTTTCATTTTTTTAAACCACAAACCAAGAAATTTGAGAGTCTTGATATCCCTTAATTTCAAAGGTTTCAAAATGAATGCTAGTGATAACTAATGAAGTAACGGACCATAAGCTCAAACAAATGAACGAATCCGACGCAGCCTAGGTGTATACATGCTCAGCTGGACGGCTCCTCATGAGAGTCCGGGCTCAGTCACAAGTTGAGTAATGCGGATTCTTGGGCGAGTTGGTACTGAAACTTGGAGAACATAATAGCTCTTCACGACAGGGACGAAGGGTAGGAACGTAGCGCATTGCGTTGTCTCGTTCCTACCCTTCGTCCCTGTCGTGAAGCGCTATTATGTTCTCCAAGTTTCAGTCACAAGACTCGCCCCTTTCATGTATACATTACATTACGCTAAACTACTGCCCTGTGTACGTTGGAGCAGGCGTAGAGATAGCATACAACATTACAGTGTCATGACTCGGGTCACACCTCGTTGTGTCAAATTTAGCGATAACTTCTAAAGTCTAAAAAAACAAAGAAACAAAAAATCTTGAGGGAGCTGTCATTCGCTTACAATAAAATTTAAAGCACTGGATACTCCTAGTTACTCAAGTATCACCCTTCTCGAATCCTGCCGCTTTAGCTTGTCTAGGATTTCTGCGACGCGTCGCTATTTGAGTGTGTGCGTGTGTGCGTGTGTGTGTTTGGTTAATGGCGCGTCTTACATGTGAACACGCACGCCCTTCTTGGTATCTCGTGGCCGCCGGCGACACGGCGAGATTGACCGGGGCATTTGAGGTGACGTCACGCCATTTTTGGCTCAAGGCCCTTCCATTATGCGCCACAGGGGCTTTAATTAACTTTGGTGTTTAGCACCGTGCAGACAATCTTTTTTTTTTCTCTCTCTCTAGCGCTTGAAGTGTTTAAAAAAAAAAAAGAACGTGCCGGAAATAGGCGCGGCTATAGATAGAATGGCAACTCAGCCTTCAGAAAACTTTAGGTCGTAATCAGCCATTATCATGTCAAAGTATGCGAGAAATGTTCACGGAAGAATTGCAACTTTGTTCGTTAAAACAAAATCTGCCGTACAAAGAAAAGGCCTAGTTACAGCGACTTTCGCGAAATGAACATCATGCTCGTCCATGCTATAACGATACACATACGTTTATTATTTTCAATGCGAACCTCATTTCAAGGCCTCTTCACTCGCTTGAAGAAATTATAAAATCGCTGTGATGAACCAACAGTGTGCGCTTTGCCCGTATGTACATGGAGGATCACTTCGTAGATTGTAGGCTAGGGCAACCAAGTTCTCAAATCAGAATTCTTGAGACGTGGATCAAAATGTTAAGTCAAGACTTAGCAATACCACTTCCCACAGACTTCCCGCAATGCGCCTAAAGAGACTCAGAGCACTTCTTCAAGAGAAGGTATGCGATATGATCGTCGTAAAACATGCACGAAACGAAATTGAAGAGCGAAGTTGCCACGGAGGTTGCTACTTCGGGGTTTGCAACAGTATTGCACAACTAATTCAAAAGGGAAAACCCTAACGGTAAACAAAGGTATCTTTCTTGTTGCTTTCTTTCGACAGTGGTTATATAAGACCCTCGATCGTCGGTTCGACACGACGGCATCCTCTGCGTGCAGCAGAGCAAAGGTGAGTGGTGTGGGAGCGCTACCTGATACTGGCGTGGTATTTCGCTGGTCTCTCATTTTCTTTTTCAATCCCCATTATTGTGGTGTTCATTTTCTTTAGAACAAAAGTCGTGTTAGTCCTACTTCATCCAATGAAACTAAAGATTATTGTTCTCTTTATTAAAAGTAAATATAAATAAACGTTCAATAATGCTGTTGCCTCTATTGAAAGCGTAGTTTGTCTTGATAAACGCAATAAGTTCAAAATTTAAAAAAAAAATATATATAACATAATCTTTTTTATTATGCACCAAGTAGTTTAAGGAAAGTCACTCCTAAGTGTGATTTTCTTGTTATGAATGAAGCAATTTTAACAATTATCATTACTTATGTCGGTGATGCAGAAAACAAGTCAAGTACCACACAACATCATCAATTCTGAAATAATGAGGGTTGTTGCTGTTGCCTTGATCGCCATCCTCGTTGCTGGTAAGTCATTGTTTTGTTTTTTTCACGTCAAATGATTTTGATGGTCGACTTGGGAAGGTTCCAAGATCGATCCTCGGACCAGGCGGACTCTTTCAGCGGCCATCAGTCGCTTAGAGGGCGCAAGTTAATGTGCTGCATTACGAGTAAAAACCAGTTAATCCTAGCGTAATGGAGAATCGGTTTGACTACTTTGAACTCAAAAGTTGCATTTTGAGTCAGAAACGCTAAAACGTAAGGCCCCAAGGATACAAACGGACTATAAATAAATGAAAAAGTACAATCACATAGTGTCTCAAAAAAGTTCTAGTTTGAAAGAATGTGGATGATTGCCCTCCCCCCCCCCCCCCCCCCCCTCCCTTTTCGGGTTTTAATATGAAGTTAATTTACCTATTGCCTGTGTTTTTTCTCATCAATCGGGAACTAACGTCCTATATCTTTCTAACACAGGCGCTTTCATGAGTTCCGCCGGAGAAGAGACCGAAGGTCAAGTTGCTCAGGTTTGAGTTCATGAGCAATATTACAAATATTGGTATAATGTACACAAACCTGCAGTAAGCTTTATCCCAGAATATGATATCTGGATACGCGATTTTTACAAATCAGATATTAGGATTTCCGTAAATCCTAATATCTGAAGCATCAATCTCTTTGATGTGATTACGGAGGATATATAACACTCCAGGCAGCAATACGTTGGCCATCATTCTGGGAACAAGATATGAAACCTATTGTCTTATTTTGTGTGCTATATATGGCTAGCGTGTATGTTTCCTTACTAAAAATGAATGAATGTCTATCGATCTTTTCCAGCGTCCGCATAAAACAGCTGCTTTGCCAGTTCTTAAAATTACTTACACTATGGAAAAAAATCTAGTGTGTACAGTTTTCCGGAGTGATTTAGGGGGAACCAATTGCTGTCATCGAATGATCATTCCTAGTACATCAATCGACGTTTTTGCAAAATAATTGCTCGAATGACAAGGCTGACATGTCTAGACCTAGAAAACGGTCTGTGCCGTGGCACTGTGCTTGAAATTTCAGCACGCGGAACTAATCGGTGGGACGCCAGTGGTTGACGAAACTAGTCAGGAGGACACCAGTGATTGGCATTTAGGATGGAGACAGTTCACATCCAGGGCAGTTTTCGAGTGCGGGCTTCGTACTGATTGGTTCTTGATTTTCTTCCACGACGTGGCTCTGGCTGTCTCTTCAACCAAGCAGCCTGAGACAGTCCCTGCAGGAAAATCGGACGGCTCGGAGCCAACAGGGTCTTCGAACAGACATCAAGGCTCAGCAAGCGCCAGAAATGTTCTGTCGCATCCACCGTTCAGGATATAAATAAAACGTGGAGCGCTACTGCTTTGCATCAGATTGAAAGTTCATTTACGTGGACGTCCTCCTCTTGGAGACATAGCTGCAGCCATCTTATTGTGTTCGCAATTATTGCAATATATTGCCGCGCGCAAGATCACTGACCTGTAGAAGGTCCGTCCGGGGGCGCTAAGCTGGACGCTTGGCGAAAACGACGGCGAGAAATGTGGCGGCCGCCATTGGCCAACGCCACACTTGACCTTGGCGCCGGCCAATCATAGCCGCCGAATTTCTCGCCGACTTCTCCGACAAGTGTCCACATTAGGGCCCCTGCTCTTTTTTTGTTTTAGAAAGTGCAAGTTCATTCTCGCCCCGAGCGCGCTACGATCGAACCTTCTCCACCGAATATTCGAGGTAGTGACTCACTCTAGATAAAAGGCCGCCGGCGACTTTGTCGAGTCAGTCTCGCCCCAGCGTTCGGCTCTGCTCTCTCGCCGAATTCGACGCCCACGACGCTATCCTGTTATCTTTTGTTACCTTTTTATTTTTGGGCACAAGTTCGCCCTTATTAAACGTTTCAGTTTCGCCAGTTATTCTGTTTCCTCTCCCTTTCATTCTCGACAATATGTTCAACTAACGAATTGCATGGTGCAATATTGTTTCATTGCTGTAGTTCACTTTACTCAATTATTGCTACATGTTTTCTGACTCCCACTCGCCTTCCGAGCAAGCAGATGTCCAAATTTATTCTGTGAATCTAGACCTTACTTTTTCGATCAATATTTTTTTCCTTGTTCTCTTTTGGCCATTAAATTGACTCGGCATGATGCCATGGCACACATTTATTATTTTATCTAGGTAGAGGCCTTACTAGGCCAATACACGTGGAAATGTTATATACACAAGTAATTGTACAGTTGAGAATCTTTATACGCACATGTTAAAGTAAGCAACACCAAACTGAAATAAAAGATACAAAACAAGCCATAATTAGGCAAAACACACAAAAAAGTAAAATTTAAATATATGTTAACACGGGCACGCTACAGAATGTAAACCTAGGAGCGTCGGTGAAAAAATAGAAACCCCAATTTGATCGTCAAAAAAAAACTTTACTAGGTTGTAAATTCAATCAAGAGTGAACAAATGACATCATTATGCCTTATTGATACGTGGTTCTCAACAGAAAGCAATTATTACATGAACTTCGTATTCATTTATAATTTAAGAACCCTGAAGGTGCTATTCAAAATACCGAGGAACCAATAAAGCTCCTGGATCAGCTTAATTCCTTTGGTACCCTCGACGTTACCCTTAAAAAACACTCCAGTAAAACAAACAAAAATTTTTCCCAAAAGCCTAGACAAGAATTGTGTATAAAAATAGTTGATCACGGAAGTTCGGTGGAGAAGCTTGAGGTCGCAGCCCACTAGGCTCCGACCCTGCTTACAGGGTGCCTACATCTCTCATCGGCTGGAGAGACGATTGACGTGTGAAAGGTTGGTTGTAAATTTGTATCTCCGTGCCGTAATAGTATTTTAATCGACATTTTTTTTATGTTTGAGAAACAACTCCCGTCTATATTGTTTCCAAATGTTTTCTGAAATTGGTTCTCCGGCTTTCGCTTCAGACGTTAAGAAACATGGCTGCCAGGGTCTGCTGGGTGGTGAACGGGCTGAATGAGCGTACCTCGTTGAGCTCGTCATTTTTTTATGAGTGCGGATCGTTTTGAGTGTACACAACGATTTAGAGGAAGATTTCATCAACGGACATGGTTTGCAGCAAACAGCTGTCGCAAGTACGCTTTTTCGGCCGCGCTGTGTGGATGCTTGTTTCTGTAGCGGGGCTTGCTTAACGTTCCACGTCAACTGTTCTGATCAATCTGGCGTAATTTCTTTCTTTGCAGGTGTTCATGCTGAATGAAAATGTTGGTTTCCATAAAAGCGGCCCCGCTTTTCTGTGAATTTTGCAACCACCCTGATTGTAACCATGGTTTCAATACCTGGAAGATACCTACTCACGTACGAATTTGCGAGCCAATTGGCTGGGGGTAATTGGGCGCTCGCCTCGCATCAAGTTAGTCCAAGTGTGTTACCGTCATTTGGCTTCGATAGGCGAGTAGCTCTCACGTTTGCAAGACCCCTGGATTGCCAAAGAGAATAATTTCAGGTAACGTTTTAATTGTGCGTCATGACGCTCTCTCACCTTACTAGCGGATGCCATGAGAAAAAAAAAATAACAAGAACATAAAAGCTTCGATGTCTGCATATTTATTTTGTTCCTTTTTTTAGTTTCCTTTGTCGCTTTTTACCGTACATCGACAGATGCTGACAGACGCTTGTGTTTGACTGTTGCCTGCGCATGATGGAACGTTAAGACGTCGTTCACACGGTCGAGTCTTGCGAGCGTAGAAAAAGCTTTTAGACAGGGGCGGAATACTAGCTGACGGACGTAGGTGAAAACGGACGCCGACGGGCAGCGTTAATGTCCGTGTACTTTGGGCACGGCAGACGACGATAGACGGTTTTGAAATGGCACGCGATGCCGGAAGCTGCCGCGCGTCTGCTCTCACAACTAGCAGGCGTTGTCGGACTTTAGACTAGACGCTCTTGATGTCGGGAACGAGAGAAACCAGGCTTGTTAGTGTGTTCGGCCCAGCAGCCAACCCAAACCAGTAGCAATGAACGGGAAAAGTGATTTGTGGGCGAGACAGCGAGGTACAGGGACTTACAACAATAAATTGGCAGCTGAAAGGGGCCCCCAACGGGACGCCGCCATCTTGCACATTTTTGAGCAGTAGACACATTACCTTAGAGTTTTACGTCAAACGTTTACCGAAGTACCGCGCACAAATATTTTCTTATTAATCTTTAATAACAGTACTCACGACATAAGTCAAAAATGTGCTTTTACAGCAAAAACTTGGGCACCTTCGCAATGCCTCCGCCACCTGAGTGCATAGCCTCGTACAAAGAACTAAACATACGCACAAAGGCGGACTGGAAAGGTGAAGGAGAAAAGCTTACGTGCAGACAAAACGGGAAGGCCACGGCTTACGAGCCCCAGGAAAGAAAGATTCGATACTGTACTTCGTTCATCCCTAAGCTGACTGTGCGGTGGGAGCTGCGAGCTAACCAGAACCAATCAAACACCACCTTTGAATCACCGACCCGTCCCTTTCTCTGCACGTTGGTATGAACCAGAGCGTGGGTACGTGGCGAAAGATAGACATGTGACTGTTCCAAAAAGCCCGTAGCTTCAACCGCATGCACTGTCAGCTTATGGATGAACGGGTTTTTGGCTACAAGGCGAAGGACACCTCACCAATGAGAGAACCGGACAAGCACGTCTCTAGCCTTCATGTTCTTTCGTCAAGCTAGGTCAAACCGTAGGCTTCGACCATTGTGAACAACAGACGATCTTAATAATTAGTTATTTCCAAAATCCTTGTCAAGGCCCCAGAACGTTTCGTGCGTCCTAGAGTAAAGCAGGTGCCGCTCGCGGTATGCATCGCTGCCTTCCCTTGAAAAGTTTATTCGGGAACAAGCATACAAGCTAATATCGCCACCCGTTTGTTGGGAAAGTACACAGTTTAAGAAGCGCGCATCATTCCTTTCCTCAACTGGCGACGCTTCTGGTCAGCAATTATCCAGCCCTTAGTGTGACAATGCACATAAACTTGGGCTCTTCGGGTGTTTGAGACAATTCTTTTTGGGAGGACGGACCGAGAATACGTCAACTAGTGCACTTGGGGCGATAGGATTGTACTGCGTCCGAGGCGGAAGGAAAACGTTTCACGCCATGACTCCTCGTAAGAACGAGCTTCCATGGCCCAACTTAACATACTGACACGGGACTATAATTTCGTCTAAATCAGGAAGAGGGAAACATACTACCCTACTAGTAAGGACCTTCACCTTTAAATGAACAGAGAAACCGGTGAGTCGACTGTCGTTGAGCCACATGTAAAAGAGCTATTCGTCATATTTAATACCGATGTCGTGTGCGCCAGCAAAACGACTGTTCAGTATGGTTCACTTTGACGCGCATAAGGCTGTTGCAGTACGAACAGGAAGGTCTGAGTTTTGGTACATCTACGGTAAATAATACACGCACAAATTACTGCTTCAAGGCATTAAAAAGTAATGCAGAAGGAATTTCATTACTTTTGGAAAGTAATTGTAATGTAATGTCATTATTTTGAGTCTGCGGTAATTTGTAATGTAATTTAATTACATTTTTGGAGTATTCAGGATAGTAAGTAGTTAATGTAAATTAATTTTGCCATCTCTGATGCAGGTCATGTGGTTAATTAATGGATAGGATTAAGAAAGAATATAGAAGAAACTAGCAAAGCTTGCCTTTAAACGTGGCAAAGCTGGAGGCTCCTCTCTATAGCTATGATGTGCACCTATAAAAAAAGCAATATTTTTTGTCAGCTAGGTCTACAACTGCGGTCTTAAAATAAAAGGTCCATTTCATGGTCCTCGTCGAAATACCCGGTCCTTAGGATCGCCGTAAAAAGGGACGTTAGGGTCAATTTCATTTTCATAGTTACAAAATTTGTTTTTCTAATTTTTAAACTAATTTTTTACGGGCTTTACCGCTTACTTGGCATATTTTATAAAGATGCAATGATGGGCCAGGGTGTCATAAAAAAGTAGATGTAAGGAAACGTTTTATATTGTTAATGCTTAAATTGCCAAAAAAAAAAAAAAAAGGAGCTGCTACAAATCCATCCCGCTGTCGCTGTGATCCCAGCCAGTCTCGCCGTTCGGGCAGGACTCGTGATCCGTGTCTGCTACGCTCCGCGGCGTGCGTCACGCTGCGTTGGATCACTGTCACGCCTCTTGGCGTGGCAGGCATTCCTGTAGCTATCGCTTGTCCGCTACAAGACGACACCAGGCGCACCTTCCGCCTACGCAAGAAAATTTCATGGCACGTCTCCAACACCGGATTTGCGATACGCTCGCGGTAAATCATGCGTAAAACAAAACTTAGGGCCAAAAGTAGAGACGGAGAAGACTTATTTGGGCGTCGCAATAACCTGCAACCTGGAGTTGCAGGTTATTGCGACGTGAAGGGAAAAACACTAGCTGTAAAGAGGACTTTTTCATCGCTGGTTTGTTTGGACTGCAACAATATAAGAGCTTTGGACTCCGGTTAGATACCACGGCTTTGCGTAGAGCTCGAAGAAGGTGAGTAGGGTTGCTAACAGGTAGAGGCACTGCTTCTCACTTTTCGTATTGTTTTTAATTGATGCCCATTCTTGTTGTTTGTGAAACAAAAAAAAGCGTGTAAAAGTGATGTTGTGGCTCAACATAAATTGCAACTAAGATATTTAATCAGCAGTCCTACTTCATACAAAGAAGAAAAAAAATACTTACTTGCTCGCTGAAAAATAACAACAGATAAAATAGCTTTAATTTACACTGCTGCTTTGTAAGCCTCTTGCTGGTAATTATTATACGAAATAAAGGGGAAATTAAAAATAGATATATTGTTAATTCAATTCAGAGCTAGCAGTTTAATTGCGCACAATTTAAGAGTTATTTTCGAGCTACGATTAAAGCAAATTAACAATCATAAATATTGTTGTTGGTGCGGCAGGACGCAGGCCAAGTAGAACACCGCATCATCAACTTTGAAATCATGAAGATCATTGGTGTTGCCTTGATCGCCCTTCTCGTTGCTGGTGAGTGAATTTTTGGTAGTTATTCATTAAGATCTCGAACTCTGAACTCGAAAGCTGCCTTTTCAGCTCTTATTTATGAACCCTATAAAATAATGTCCCGCATGTTTCCAACTTTTTCAGGAGCGTTTATTACTTCCAGGGCACAAAGGGAAGAAAAGCAAGTGGCTCACGTTCGAGTTCGTGAGTTACGCTTCCCCAAATATTTGTGTCAGTAAAAACATTAGAAGAAGTACAGTAATCTTTATGCAAGATGCGGCTAATAGTTTGTTTTGTGATGTTGTTGCAAGTATTTTGATCCCACTAAGCTTCAGAATTTTCCACGAAGTGTAAAACAACACGGGCTATGTGCTATGCTATGTAGCATTGTAACCTCGAAAATCCTTTTGAGCGCTTAGCGTTAAGAGAGAGAGTACCCAATTAATAGGCTGTACGCATGCTCCCGTTTTAATATTCCATCAATATTCCGACCACGTGCTATTCCGCTCTCAGCATGGACGGAAGGTTACCACACAGAGAGCTACTAAAGTTTTTCAGAACACCTTCCAGATCCCAGTAGACAAAGCTGGCCGCACGCAGAAATCTATTATTGGAATGATCTACGTTTCTCCGCACACAAAATCAGATAGCAGCCAACCAATTTGACGCAGCGTCTGCATTAAGCAGTCACGTTAAGGACTTTAAAGGATTCATCTTCAAAGTGTGCGTGCACGAGCCCACGTCAGTCCGACGGCCAAACGTTCAGAGCTACTCAAGGACTCAACAACAGTGACGGAAACACTTCAAAGCAAAACGTTTTCGTCCTTTATCAATGGCGAATATGTTTTAACTTAATAAAATTTGGAACATTTGTGGAAGTTTAAGCCAAAGAGCTTCCCAGCCTGCGCATCGTCCGAATATCCCCCACGCCCCAGGCCACCCTATTTTCGCCATTTTATATATGTTCTTAATCATGTCGTATTACACCTGAGACTGCGGTGGAAGAAATCGGAAGAACTTTCAGTAGAAGGAACAGACACAGAGAACGTCTCAAACTCAGCTAACTGGTTTATTTCTCAAACAGCCTTTAAGTACCCACGGAACTTTTTCCCAACCACACTCAACAGATAAACTCCTTTGTTGCAGACATTTCAAACCGGATGGATACAAAAGATACAAAACAACCCACACATGGGACGAGGACTTAACAATGGGACACTGCGGATCATCGCAGTGACCTTGACAGAGATATGTCCCGAATTATCCTAACAGTCGCGTCAAAGCGCACAAAAAAAAAAAAAGAAAAACCACACACAGGTGGTCTCTAAACCGTGGCAACGCACCCAGAAAAAAAACAAAAACAAAAAAAAAACACCACAACTAACACTTTTTTTCCCCCCTTTCCTTTCTTTGGGAAAACACACCCAAGTGATCTCGAAATCGCGATCACATTGCATTCCTCTATGTGCTTTGCTATTTCGGAGTTCGGCGCATGCGTGCGTACATTTCTCTGGTGTTCTAGTAACCTGTCATTAAGGCATCTTGAAGTTTGTCCCACGTACTTAAATCCACATGTCAACGGAATCTCATATACTACACTCTCTTTGCAAGGAACTGAAGGATCCCGATGGGCCTTCTGACAACCCTTGTGGTCCGACAGAAAGGGCGTCAACCTGCTTAATTTTAAATCTGAAGAAAAAACTACGTCCACGCCGAACTTTTTTGCGAGAGCCTTTAGGTTGTGGGAAATCCCGTGGAAATACGGGATTACTGCTATAGCAAATAGCAAAGCACATACAGGAATGCAATAATTGTAATGCGCATTGGTCAGAGACAGAAGTTCTGCATAAAGAGCGAAATGACATTAAGAGGGTCGTTAAAGAAACAATAAGAATAAGTTCTATCGGAAACTGCATAAGCCAAGCATCGATGCAACTTGGACGAAACTCCAAAAAGTTTCTCAGACTTTGAACGAACGCATTCGGTTTACGAGAAGAAGGTGGGGGAGAGACAATGTATATGTGTATATACATCTAAAAATTTTTTTTTTTTTTTTTTTTAAATGTGCTTGTGATCGCGATTTCGAGATCACTTGGGTGTGTTTTCCCAAAGAAAGGAAAGGGGGGAAAAAAAGTGTTAGTTGCGGTGTTTTTTTTTTGTTTTTTTTTTTTGTCTGGGTGCGTTGCCACGGTTTAGAGACCACCTGTGTGTGGTTTTTCTTTTTTTTTTTTTTGTGCGCTTTGACGCGACTGTTAGGATAATTCGGGACATATCTCTGTCAAGGTCACTGCGATGATCCGCAGTGTCCCATTGTTAAGTCCTCGTCCCATGTGTGGGTTGTTTTGTATCTTTTGTATCCATCCGGTTTGAAATGTCTGCAACAAAGGAGTTTATCTGTTGAGTGTGGTTGGAAAAAAGTTCCGTGGGTACTTAAAGGCTGTTTGAGAAATAAACCAGTTAGCTGAGTTTGAGACGTTCTCTGTGTCTGTTCCTTCTACTGAAAGTTCTTCCGATTTCTTCCACCGCAGTCTCAGGTGTAATACGACATGATTAGCTACCACCAGCTCGCCTGCACTCTCACCGTCTTTTCAATTATATATGTACTTAGTTAATCTCAATTTAAATCACGCGAGTTCGAATTTAGTGATTCTTCACCAGTAGATTTGTTTTGCAACATTACAGATTGATCGATCATCCTTTGGATCGCTGATAACAATGCGGAAAAAAGGAATTACAGTAAATGTTGAGTATAGTTTTATTAACAACTTCTCACTGCAGCAATCCCTGCCGCACTATAACAAAAACAGCTTGATTTTTTTAGTTATTTATAAAAAAAGTGCCATTTGATTTTGTTCGAGTTTTGAGTTGATGGCAATATGACATTAGTTTTCTAGTTTTTGTTTCCTACTTATTCCTTCGGAGTTTGTGGGAATTGGACGTTACGTGGTTGACGAACGAAGTGGAAGGTGGAGATCAAGCTCAATGCTTCTTTTTCCGCAGAAGCGCACTTTATTTTGCTCTTGTTCATTCTTATAGAAATCTTTATTGCTTAATTATCATTTTATTTGAATACAATACGCTTGCACATAGAAAGCATCAAACAATAAATGGACGATTAATTTAAAAAATTGGGGATTATTATATAACAACAAAAATAAGTCTCTATTTCCAGTGCCCAAAAAGAACCAGCAGATATTTTTAGCGGGAAATGTTTGATTTAATTAATCATTGAAAACTGGTATCATCTAAATCACAGTTGAAATGATTATAAGTTATATTCTACACCCTGCTTTACATCAATTGTGGTGCGACACCAATCGATTTTTATATTGACAAAATTGATTAAGCTGATGCGAATAATTGGTGTTTTGTGCATCTCGTACACTATACGTGTACGAGCTTTTTAAAATGTAAGGTTTGTGCTAATTCGATATAAATGTTTTTTTTCAGGACGCGGTTTTGGCTGTCCCTTCGACGAAGACACCTGTCTGAAGCACTGCGAGAGCACTGGAGGATACGGAGGTTTCTGCAGTGGACCTGTGATGCAGTCGTGCGGATGCTATTACATTGTACATTGATACGTTAACACGAATGTATGGTGCTTTTCGGTAGGCTGTGAGCTTATTTGCGGGGATTGTCTTGTCTCGGAAACAAATCTACTTCTGCAACAGCATGTTTATCGTCCTTGCAAAGGGCGCTCAATAAACTCCTTACGTTGCTTCACAATCTGTATTTATTATTGTAGGTAATTGAGCGCAAAGATATTACATTTTCACTGGTAATTTTCTCTGCCTTTTTTTGCGTGTAGAACAGATTGTGGTGTCATGAATCAGCCCCCCCCCCCAAAAAAAAAACACCGGCCGTAGTGGCGAAAAGAAAACCCGGCACGGGCGTTTCTGGCACGATAAACAGTTGGGAACGAAATTAGATCGGCCAGCTGCGAATTTATGCACAAGGGGTTGGGCAGAATGAATACACCACACGTCTGTCCGGAGCAAGACATACATTGGCAATTCTGAACAAAATAGGCTACAATAAATGAAAAATGACAATAAAGACAAGAAACAACAGCACGAACAACAAACAAAGTTTAAATTGGCTGTTTATGAATGAAGAACACAATGCGAACATCACACCATGAGTTCTCAGGGGAAAACGAGGATTATAAATTGCCGCGTATTCATTACAATAAAAAGAAAGAGTATACATATTCAAAGTGTTAAATGTCCGTAACGTTTTTTAACTCTTCAAATATCAACATTATTGTTTATATATATATACAGATATAACTATGCTCGTTTATATATTATCTATATATATAAACAGACATACGCAGATGAATGAACCGTACTTAATCCAATGAATCAAAGAATCAAAGTTTTCAGGAACCCGCCGAAAGCCAAAAAAAAAAAAAAAAGGCGGAGCGAGGATTTGAATTCTGGGCCCCCCAATGACCGGTCAGGTGTGCTAACCTCTACACCACTCCACCTTGGCTTTCTGGCGTTTCCTACCTGTCTTATTAAAGGGGCACTGACACCCCAAAGGTCGTATTTATTTTTATTGTCTAAAACGATGCAAGTTGCAGTCATAGACATGCAAAAAAAAACCGCATCGCGAAAAAAAATTTTCCCGCGCGCGCGCGCGCCTTTTTATTTTTGGCGTTTGATTTTCCCGCCTCTCGCCTCCTCGCTTCTTTTGATCGGTGACGTCAAAAATCAGGAAATTTAGAAGCTTTGTAGGCGACATCTCTATAACATTTAATTACGGCAATCGTAAAACATGTTTTTTAACGCAATTGCGAACGCACTACGGCCCTTCTTTTTGAAATACCAAAAATCGGGAGTTCGTTGTGGTGCCGTCTCCTGGATTTGTGTCCTCCAACGGAAAAGAGGCGACACCGCTCAAAACCGGTCCGCCGTAACGCTGCCGCTCACTCCTTTCCTCCTCGCTTTGGGTCGCCATGGCAACAGCCGGGAGTGGTGAAAGGAAGTCGACTCTCAGGTCTCCGCGATTTTTGACGTCAAGGCACCGGCGCCGATCGCGCGGGAACTTCGAATTCGGCATTTGGAAATTGTTTTTTTACTTCACAAATACTGAACTCCCAAATTTCAAATTTTGAGGGTAATGTCCCGGCATCGTTTTCAATCGTTTCGGATAATAAAAAAAAATATGATTTTGATGTGTCAGTGCCCCTTTAATGCATACGAAACGAAATGTATACAATCGGAGGTGTTCTGGAAACACACGCCGCCGCGTGGAACGGGGTACGAAGCTTGGTGTCACGTGGTACGTGAACATTTGTTCTCCAGAAATCCTATTTGGACCCAAGATATTAATTCGAAAGTACATATACTAAAAAAACCTTTTAGTACATATACTAAAAAAAAAGCGCTGGTTCCCGCTTCTCCAAAGTACATATACTAAAAATGGAGTAGTGTAGAGGTTAGCACACGCGACCGTACATTGGGAGGCCCAGAGTTCAGATCCTGGCTCCGCCGTTTTTTGGCTTTCGGCGGGTTCCTGAAACCTTTTATTCCTTGATTCATTGGATTAAGTACGGTTCATTCATCTGAATATGTTAGTTTATATCCTCCTCGGAGACCACGTACGATGGTGTCAAGAGCTCGTGTTATATATTCAATAACGTGGCTCTTGATTCTCTCAGATGATGATGATACCGTGTCTCTAAAGCTCGTAAACAAAGAATACTACATGTACACCGGAGGAGACAAACAGTGGGAAGATTTCTGGAGCACAAACGAGCAGGTACCACGTGACACCAAGCGTCGTACCGCGTTCCACGCGGCGGCGTGTGTTTCCAGAACACCTCCGATTGGATACATTTCGTTTTTGTGCATTATTAAGACAGGTAGGAAACGACAGAAAGACAAGGTGGGGTGGTGTAAAGGTTAGCACACCCGACCGGACTTTGGGAGGCCCAGCTTTCAAATCCTGTCAAAGCTGTATGTTGGGCTAGTTGTTATTGGTCTTGGGTTGCCAAAGGCATGGTAGCGCTTTTTTGGACGAGGACAAAAGAAAGAAAGACAAGACAGACACCAGCGCTGTCCTGGTGTTGGTTGATTGATAGGATCGAAGCGTGTATGTATGCCTCATTTCCATGTTGATTAAATAGTTGCAGTCAGCGTTCGTGTCTGTCTTGTCTTTCTTTCTTTTGTCCTTGTCCAAAAAAGCGCTACCATGCCTTTGGCAATCCAAGTTCAAATCCTGGCTCCGCCATTTTGCGCGCGAGGCATAACGGTTATCGCTAGTGGGTGCCACACGGAAAGCCAGGGTTCGATTCCTGGCCACAGAGGCGCATTTTTGTTGACTCTAACGTAATGTTCTGGTAAGTTCGAGAACCGTGTTGCTTCTGCGAGGTCAGATTGTTCTACAGGCCGAACCTTCGACGCCGATTATTCCAGAAGCCCACACCCCACACGTGTACATAAGGGGCTCCGCGCGGCGATCTGGGGTCAGTCTCGCCCCAGCGTTCGACTTTGCTGTTACGCCGACTTCGACGTGCGCGGCGCTCTGTTATTATCTTTTGTACCCTTTTATTTGTGGCACAAGTTCGCCACATTAAACGTTTATTTCTTCCCGTTTATTTATTGTTTTTTGGTTGCCACCCGTGACATTTTTGTGGAGGTGTCGGGTACGCACCCTATGTTTCTTAACCGTACGCCTCCGAGGACCCGTTCGGCCAGCCCTACTCCAATATGTCGATCCGTGGAAGAGGCAGGGCCCGGGGCAAGCCAGCGTCTGCAAGGACAATGCGCTGAGTTTGGACCACTGCCGGACAAGACAAAGAAGCCATCAAAGCCGACGATGAGCCCCCCGGTCCAGCAGACGGAAAATCTTCCAGCCGCATCGTCCTACGTATTCTTGCCTTTGGTGCCCCGCGTGCCGACGCCATCCCACGGTCAAATCTACGAGGACGTAGAAGACTGGCTCCTGCAGTACGACCAAGTGGCCCGCCACAACGGATGGACTGATGAGCAACGCCTCAAGAACATCTTCCTCTCACTGGAAGGGACAGCAATGCAGTGGTATGAAAACACGAAGTCGCAGTGAGCACGTGGTAAGTTTGTAAGAACGAGTTGAAGAAAACATTTGTCAGTCAACACCGACGTGAGCGTGCCGAAGACCTGCTTCGAGGGAGGAACCAGGGACCAAGGAAAGCGTGGCATTTTTCACTGAAGACGTTCTCCGCCTGTTCGCCCGCGCCGACCCGCAGGCCACAGATGAAAAGAAGCTGCGGGAACTCATGCGGGGTGTCATGGATGACATTTTCGGCGGCCTTGTCCGCAATCCTCCGTCGACTGTGGAAAACTTGATCTCGGAGGTACCAAACCTTGAAAGGGCGTTCCTCGCAAGGGCGAACCATTACCAGTTGCATAATGGCGCCACCGTGATTCCAATATCTACCTGCAGCATCAGTTCCGACAACTCTGACCTCTCTGCGATCCATGAGGTGGTTAGAGACATTGTCCGGAAAGAGCTTAGGAAGTTGGTGCCGGCAGCAGAACGACCGCTGCTCTCTTACTCACCGAGCTCGTTAAAGAAGAAGTGCAGCGGGCCTTTCAACCGGAGTTTCCTGTCGACATCGCTGAACTAGAAGAACCGGTAATAGCCTACGCTTCAGTGGCGCGACGACCACCACCGACTGCTCGCCTATACACGTCGCCACCTCGACGAGACGCCAAAGCCCCAAACTAGCTTCGGCGAAGGAGAAAGGGTCCCGTACCTCCGTCCGGAACAGCCCGAACCCAGAAAAACAGACGTGTGGAGGGCGCCCGACCGACGCCCTCTGTGCTTCCACTGCAGGGAAGCAGACCACGCCTACCGCCGATGCCCATAACGACGACTCGGACTGCGCGGGTTCCACCCGAACGACCCGCGCCCACGTTATGGTGAACGCCCTCGGGAAATCGACGAGTACCTGCGACGACCTCAGTCCCCCGAGCCTGCGTCCCGCCGAGAGTTCGGGTCGCCGTCGCCACGACGTCCAGTTTCGGCGACGCTCCGACCCCGACGTGGAAGCCTGTCGCCCCTCGCTCCTCGCCGGGGAAACTAGGTGCGGCAACCCCTGGAGGTGGTGTTGCCGAAAATGACCGACGCAAACATTCTCCACAAACGTCGGAGGGCCCCCACTCTAACGGCGGCGCACGTACAAACAGCGCTCCTGCGACCGTAAAGAATAACCTATACGTCGTTATCGACGGCCACGACGCGTCGCCTCACGTCGACACCGGAGCAGACTACGCCGTCCTGAGTGGGAGGCTCTCCCAACGCCTTCGGAAAGTGACGACGCCGTGATATGGTCCACAGATACGAACTGCCGGTGGGCACCTCATCACACCAGTCGGGAAGTGCACCGCTCGCGTCGAGATTCACGGTGAGACATGTCCGGTGAAGTTCCTTGTTCTACAAGACTCTGCAAAAGACGTTATACTCGGCATGGACTTTCTCTGCGAATACGGCGCCGTCATCGACCTGGAAGTCAACCAGCTGATACTGCGGAAATTTGTTATGACGTCCGGGAACCAGGAAATAGCGCCGGCCGCCTCAGCCACAGCAC